AAACAGATCGAAAGATCTACAAAAAGTAGAAGAAGAAGAAGAAGGTTTTGATGAAAGTTTATGGTTGCAACAGGATGGTGCACTTTCACATTATGCTGTAGATGTACCTAGATGAAATTTTTCCAAACAGGTGGATTTATAGACGTGTACCTATTGAATGGCCAGCGAGGTCACCAGATTTCCATCCTTTGGATTATTTTATGTGAGGCCATCTAAAGAATGTTGTGTATCAAACGAAACCAGCAAATATTCAAGAATTACAACAGATAATTCGGACAGCAATAAACAATATTTCTCCAGACACAATAAACAAGGTTCAACAAGAATTTGTACAACGTTTGGGTTACTGTCAAATATAGTAAGGGCTGCAGTTCGAACATTTATAAAGTCAAGTATTTCATCATATTCTGTTCGCTAGACAATAAGCATTTTTGATAAAATTGTTAATTTAACTAACGCGTTACTTTATGAACACACACAAAACTATTGTATTTTTGTCCACCCTGTACCAATTTGAATCAACATGTATCACATTTTTGGAATCAGCTCAGCTAGAGTAATCCGAAAATTGAGACAAAATGGGGGTTTTCCATAAAAAAAATGACGGTGACCTCATTGCTCGAAAGTAATTCACCCTCTATATTAGAATATTATTTTATAATACGGTAAATTAAAATAAAAAATCGACGTGTTTCAGGATTATTTCTTAAAATACTCTGTTTATCAAATAAAGAATTTGTTCCATACTTTACGGACACAGTGTAATACTTTATATATTTGTAATATCACATTTATAAAATATTAAATGTTTACTTTGTATAGTATTTACTGGCAGTTACTTATTATCATGCAGTTATATTTTGCGTTTATTATTATCATACGTACCTAGAAGTACTCATAACCATTTTTGATGACCGCTGTTTGTATTAGTACCTAGATAAAACTGGTAAAGGGAACAGGATTGCAGTAGGGTTTATTAAGATTCACCTTTTGTAAATACGTTTTTAGGCTTTTAGTTTTCAATTTTTTCTAAGGTGACTGGCGGCATTGTATTTACAAATCGATCTTTTAAACGGGATATCAAAACTGTGTGTTAGCTCACTTTAATACAATAACAAATCTATTTTAAAATCCGTAAAATAGTTTCGAAACACAATTCAGATTTCTGCTTATAATCTGAGCCTTCTAAAAATTGCAAGGCAAACAGATGTTGATAAAAGATGTTAAAAGGGACATGGGGAATCTAAAATTTGCATTCCACAACATGTCTTTACAACTAAGCAGAAATCCTTAGCGAATTGTGTTTCTCGTACTCACACAGAGTATATCCGAATAAAATGAAAAAGACAGCAAATATTTCATATCATCTCATCAGAAAGATGAGACCTATTAGGTCGAAATACGTATCAACAGATACATAGGCGCTGTTTGCGTGAAATCAAATATTTGCTGTCTTTTTCATTTTAAATCTATTTTACTTAAATTATATAGAAATCCATAATGGTTTTTACAATATCATATCCTAATATCAATGTTATTTCATAGCTTCATAGTAATCAAGCTTTCGGAAATTTTATTTCCTTTCTCAACACAATCTAAAAATAAAAGTTAACATTTGGATAAAACTAATAAAAAAAACTTACTGCTCGTGGTTATTAATTAATACAATATATTCGTTAAAAATAAATTAAAATTTGTTTAATTTTTATTTTATTATATTATTTTATTTAAATTCTTCATGTTTATCGAAGTTCTTGTATTAATGATTAACCACAAGCAGCAAGTTTTTTTTGTTTTATATTCGTAAATGTAAATGTAAACTTTCATTTGTCTATTTATTTTAGATTGCCTTGAGAAACGAAAGCTTGACTAAGCTCAAAGAGTTTCACTTTTAGCCCGAAATAAATTGACTGTATTTCCTAATAATAAAAATAGTTAAGAGTATTTTAAACAGTTCCATGTTCAAAATAGTACTGTTTTGTACTACAATCGTAACAAATAATTTATACTATTGCTGCCACATTTTTTATTTTAAAAATTTTCAAGAATGCCCCTCAGGAAACCGTTCGTGATAAATTCTTACTTATAATTATTTACGCATTTTTATTGCAGATCATTCTGCCAATATCTCCCAATATCCATATCATTCTACCATTTCATTCACAGTAAAATTCATCTTACCTAAGTTTATACAGAAATAATTATGGTTAACTGTCAGTCTTCAAAGGCATATATTAACCTTAGTCTTTCCCGTACTTTCCTTGCTCCTTTTCTTGGTCTTCTTGAGTAAGAAGCAGCTTCTCGAAATCTTTATAAAAAATCGTGTATTGTGATTCGCGGAAAGCTAAGCATATCTGCGATATATCCAATGAAACGCCCACCATTATGAACAGCAAGTTCTTGGGCTACTTAATCTGGCCTCATTACAAATTATTGTTTGGTATTAAAACACTTTTATTTTACGAAAATGCAGCCAACAACGTTGATGTTTTTCCAGTAAATAACAATAAATGTTGCCCAGTTTATCTGTCAGACTTTTTATTTATGGAAGACGTACCAGATTGTATGAAACACATTTCCAAGAAAACACGTTTTGAATGGTTTTTTTTCTTTTGCCAAAATACAGGAATCTTTGAAATTAAATTCATGTTTCAACATTAATGCATGTTCTGTAAGTGCACATGCATTTATTTTTTTTTTGGTTTTTATGTCACTACGATGTGAGATCACTTTATTGTGAAAAGTACGAGATGATTCTCCGATATATACGTTGTTACAATTGGTATACGGTATAGAATAAACAACATTCGATAACTTCTGTATTGTGAAAGGATCTTTTGTTTTTGTGTATAACTTTGATACCGTTTTCACATTCTTAGTTGTAATTTTTAAGCCACTATCATTTTTGAAAATGTTCATTAGCTTAGGTGTCAGAACTGGAATGTAGGCTAGGCAACCATAAGTTATTTTAGATGGTATCACTGTGTTGTATGTCAATGTCAATTGTTCGACTTCATTATTATGAAAATTTTGGTTGTCAGAAAATTGCGAAGGAAAAGGAGAACTGAAAATGAGTTTATTTAAAAGCTCTATGGGATAGGAGTTCTCTTGTAGTATCAATCTCAACTTTTTTAGTCCGTTGTCTCTGAACTCGATGTGTGACAAGTTGATAACCCTAGTTTTTAGGGCCAAAACTAAATTTGTTTTTATCTTAGATGGATGTTCAGAATGAAAGTTTATGAAAGGGTTACTAAAACAAGGTTTACAATACCACTCCGTCCTTAGCATGCCATCGCTGCCACGATGGATAAGCATCTCTAAAAAAGGAATCATACTATCAGCCTCTCTCTCAACCGTAAATTTTAGGTGTTCACATTGGGCGTTAAAGGTGTTTAAAACTTCAGTAAAAACTATCGTTTAATAAAAGGTATATGAAATGGTATCTTTTCTTTACATATTATTATAAGTTCATTCAAAACAAAGTTACATAGTATGGGGGATATTTTGCTGCCCATTGGAGTGCCAAAGATTTGTTTAAAAAAATTACCATTAAACAAAAAGATGTTAGAGTCAAATATAAATGTTAAAATTCTTATAAAATCATCTAAACTGATGTTGGCATGTGGAAAGATGCTGTTCCAGTTATTTTTGATGCTGTTAAGAATAGAATCTAGTGGTAAATTTGTAAACAGTGACACAACATCTAAACTAATCAATATATAATTATTAGGAACCTTAACATTGTTAATGAAGTTACTAAACGTGAAAGAATCTCTAATATAGAATTAATTGGATTCGTTGTAGGAAATTGTGGGGATAGCTGTAAGGTGTTTAGCAAGTTTACTATTAGAAGCATCGATGAAAGAAACAATAGGTCCCATTGAAATAGTCATTGTAAATTTTCAAGGATTTTGCAACTTCTGTTGTTATGGATTTGGAAGAAGCTAACTCCGAAACCAGCTTGTTCGCCTTTTGTTGGAGGGTGCAGACCGGACTGTTCTCAGGTTTTGATTTTAAATATATATAATATATATATATATATATATATATATATATATATATATATATATATATGTATTATATATATATATATATGTATTATATATATATATATATTATCTATATATATATATATATATATATATATATATATATACACATATGTCCAAAAGCTTGGAATACGTACAAATAATACATCTACGCCTATAGTGGTTGTAAAATTGTTGTTGATATTCATTATAGAGGGTTTTTAAATAAAAATGATAAAAAATTTGAATTGTTTTTATATGATTTTGGTCACATTCAACTGATTAGCGTATTTACACATTATTTCAGTGTTTAAATTTTAATTGAGCCGTTCAAAAATGCCTAGAAACGTGATATCTCATTTTGACAGATCTATAGTAATTGCTTTATTACAACAGGGCTTTAGACAAACTTATATCGCGAATATTGTTGATGTCACTCAGAGTGCTTTATCGAAAATTAAAAAAAAAATCAAATTTACAAATGACGTCAAAGATATAGATATAGAAAGATAAAGAAATAGAAACAAAATGATGTTTAACTATTCAGAAGAATTTATATATAAAAATCAATAAAAAAATGATTCCAATATTCCAAACTTTTGGACATATATATATATATATATATATATATATATATATATATATATATATATATATATATATATATATATATATATATAAGAAAAAAGAAGTACTTGTGACTCGTTTGGAAAAAATATAACACTGTTTTTGATGGGTTGGAGTCAACTCCAACCCATCAAAAACTGTGTTATATATATATATATATATATATATATATATATATATATATATAATATATATATAATATAATATAATATTCAGTAATTCAGAATACATTACTGAAATTATAAAGCCTGACCTTATACTACCCCACTTATTAAAATTTATTGTTTTTTACCTTTCATAATATATAGTGCAATTAACGGAAACCTATTTTAAAAACCATTTTTCGTAAAATTAAACACATTATTATAAATTAGCGACCATGGGTAAGTAATAACAACTTATGTTATGTATATTTACAGCCAAACCTTACAAAGTCTTTTTTGTTGTTATTCTGATACATAAACTGATGAAAAATAAACTCCGAAACACAATGAAAATAAAACACTTGCCTATCTTATCTTTCTAATAATATTTTTTGGATATACTTTTTTGTTTTCTAACATTTTCTTCTTAATAGCAATTTCGTATTTCCAAATATCATTTTGAAATTTTTCTCTTCTTCGTTTTTTGTGCAGATATGACTTTGTCTGTTTTCTATATCTTTCCAATAAATTATCGTTCCGTCGTTTTCGTGCTCTTCCCACTGATTGTCTTCCTATTGGGGAATCGTCTCTTGCCGTCTTTACTACTCTATTTGTTGTTATCCGGCTTATATGCTCGTTTCATTTTACTCTTCTCTTTATTACAAAGTCCTTGATATTCTCCACTTTGTTCTCTGCCGTATATCTGTACTTTAGCTCTGTTCCATACTGTCTTACTATCGATTTTTCCAAGAGTTTTCATGGTTTTCTTCTCTAATGTTTTTAGTATTCCTTTGGGTCTCTCTGTATCGGCTCGTGTTTCTGCTGCGTATGTCATGATTATGTATGTGCTATATTTGGTCCGTACTTTTATATAGAAATGTGAACGCTAAAAGTATCGATCATGAATAGTGTGAACAACTTCAATTCAATCGAATTCGGGACAAAGCTAAAAAAATACATGAAATCCTGGACTTTTCAATGAAAATCGGGGCAATTTTTATTTTTTTTAAATAAATACTGTAATACCACCATTTTATTGATTATTTAACATTTGTATCTTGACAATGATATTTTTGATAGAATTTAGTCATAATTGGTCATAATAATTATATTATTGTTAGTTTTTGACGTTTCGACTTCCAACCCGGAAATCATTCTCAAAAAAGAAAAAATTAAAAAATCAACTGATATTGGATTTCCATGTTAATGTAACCTTAGGTTAACATAAGAATGTAATTATTATTACAACCAATTGTGGCATAATCCCATAAAAAATATAGTTGTTAAACATGCCACAAGAAAAGAGCTTCAAAACATTTAAAAATCAATCCATTCATATTTTAAATTGACCTCAAGGAACAAAATATATTAATTATTTGCACTGCTTATTTTTTAAAACCATATTTGTCTTACGATGAAATTTGCTTTAACAATGACGGCGACTCTTTTAAAAATTTATAAAAAATCAACATATTCATATTTCAAATTAAATTTTACGAACAAAATATTTTTTAAGGTTTTAATGCCAAGTTGCGATTTATGGCTGTCCATATTTTTATAATCAATGAAAAAACGCGCTCGATATTCGCAGAAGTAGCTGGTAAACAAAAGATGAATTCAATATCTCGTGCAAAGCGTTTGTACGGAACGTGATTCTTTTCGAAGTGTTGGAAGCAGCAAGACCATCCAAGAACATCCAAAAGGTCCCTAAGTTCAGATATCTCGGTAGTTGGATAACTGAAGATCTAGATCCAGACATAGAGATACGTAGCAGGATTGAGCAAGCCAGAACAGCATTTACTAATATGAGAACATTGTTCTGAAGCTATTTTCTTGTGGCATTGTAAATTAATTACTATTTAACTGGGAATAAGCCACAATTAAAGATAAAAATACGTTTATTGACGTTTCAATTTCCACTTCGGAAATCGTTCTCAAAATACAAACAGTAAATTAAACAAATTTTGTTTTTTGTTACATATTGAAAAATTCTTCTAATAATTTAATTTTATCTGACTCATTTATATTGACAATTTAGACATACATTATGCATTTTAAAGTAGACGACTTTAAAATGATATTGCCAATATTGTTAAGTTGCTCTCCTGGGACGACTTTACTTATAAGATAGTTCATTCGATTACATGAAATCAACTTTAACTTGAGAATATCCGTCAGAAAAAATCATAGCATGTAATTCGTCTTTAAAAAGACAAACACATGACATGATGACAGTAAAATTCTTGTGTTAGTGATTCCATAGTAAATTATGAGGGAAAAACCAGGAAAAAAACCTCATAATACTATCCCGACATTGTAAGTATTTGTTCGTGAATTTAGTTTACCTTCAACAAACATCAAAATTCTGATTTTATATGTTACGTTATTTAAAAAACATAAATGATGTATCCTCTATATGTTACTGACTTACTAATACTGGTATTTTCTTATTATTAACTTCATCTTTCAATATTGGTAACCAGATCCTACTACATTCTGCCGAGGAATTTGAGACACAATTGGCCTCATTTAGCATAATTAGAGCCGCTTCTTTGATTTTTCTTTTTTTACCATCCGTTTCTTTTAGGACTACATTTGAATTATTCCATTGAACCCTATGTTCATTATCCCATGCGTGTTTACATATTTGAGATCTATCAAATTCTCTATTTTTAATATAAGATTGATGTTCACTTATTCTAACATTTAATGGCCTTGATGATTTACCTAAATAAAACTGATCGCATTCACAAGGTATTTTATAAATGCAAATCTTTGTCCTTTCTTGTTCATTGTTAGGTTTGGTTTTGGACAAAATAGATCTCAACGTGTTTGTTGTTTTGAATGTTGTTGAAATGTTGTTGAAAAAAGGATAGGAAATAAATTCAACATTTCAACAACATTCAAAACAACAAACACGTTGAGATCTATTTTGTCCAAAACCAAACCTAACAATGAACAAGAAAGGACAAAGATTTGCATTTATAAAATACCTTGTGAATGCGATCAGTTTTATTTAGGTAAATCATCAAGGCCATTAAATGTTAGAATAAGTGAACATCAATCTTATATTAAAAATAGAGAATTTGATAGATCTCAAATATGTAAACACGCATGGGATAATGAACATAGCGTTCAATGGAATAATTCAAATGTAGTCCTAAAAGAAACGGATGGTAAAAAAAGAAAAATCAAAGAAGCGGATCTAATTATGCTAAATGAGGCCAATTGTGTCTCAAATTCCTCGGCAGAATGTAGTAAGATCTGGTTACCAATATTGAAAGATGAAGTTATTAATAATAAAATACCAGTATTAGTAAGTCAGTAACATATAGAGGATACATCATTTATGTTTTTTAAATAAAGTAACATATAAAATCAGAATTTTGATGTTTGTTGAAGGTGAACTAAATTCACGAACAAATACTTACAATGTCGGGATAGTATTATGAGGTTTTTTTCCTGGTTTTTCCCTTATAATTTACTATGGAATCACTAACACAAGAATTTTACTGTCATCATGTCATGTGTTTGTCTTTTTAAAGACGAATTACATGCTATGATTTTTTCTGACGGATATTCTCAAGTTAAAGTTGATTTCATGTAATCGAATGAACTATCTTATAAGTAAAGTCGTCCCAGGAGCGCAACTCAACAATATTGGCAATATCATTTTAAAGTCGTCTACTTTAAAATGCATAATGTATGTCTGAATGGTCAATATAAATGAGTCAGATAAAATTATATTATTAGAAGAATTTTTTCACTATGTAACAAAAAACAAAATTTGTTTAATTTACTGTTTGTATTTTGAGAACGATTTCCGAAGTGGAAATTGAAACGTCAATAAACGCATTTTTATCTTTAGTTGTGGCTTATTCCCCGTTAAATAGTAATTAATATGAGAACCTTGCTAAGCAACAGCAGCCTCAACTTAATGCTTCGATATCGCTTTGTAAAATGTTACATTTACTCCATACTGCTATATGGTGTAGAAACCTGCACCATAAAGGCCAATGTGATGAACCGATTGGAGGCCTTTGAAATGTGGGTATTTAGAAGACTACTTAAAATTCCCTGGACAGATCACACAACAAATGTCGAAGTATTAAATAGAATGGGCCGAGAACGAGAATTGCTGCCAATAATAAAAAGAAGAAAAACTGCTTATCTAGGTAATATATTTCGAAATTCCAAGTACCAGTTCTTAAAGCTTACTATGGAAGGAAAGATAGAAGGAAAACCAGGCATCGGAAGAAAGAAATACTCATGGCTTAAAAACATAAGGGATTGGACAAATCTCGATGACTTTTTAGAGCCACACAAGATCGAGAGCAGTATTCCAGAATTGTCGCCAATATCCACTAATTGGATAGGGCACCATAAGAAGAAGAAGGAAGCATTCGATCCAGCGTTGATGTGGTTTTGTGTGATATTCGTTCCAAGCTGTAATTTTATCACTGGTCACAAATTTAACATTGTTTTCTTCTACGCTAATCCAATTATTCTCTGCCATGAATCTATTCGTTGCCTCGACTTCATTACAATTCGGCTCGGTAGCGAGTGTAGCCCATCCAGATATTAGTACGTCTTCAAACTGTGATATCTACTGCTCGAGATAATCGATGCAAGTTTGATAAAATGAAAGGGCTATTTGCAACACTGTTTGTTTATCAATACCGAGGTACGCGGTTACAGGTAATGGAAGTCGATAAAACCTCACCAGCTACAGGGGTCATATACGATGCCCCCATTTTCATTTTTTATTAATACACAATTTAAGAGTCTATTGCATTTACCTTAATAAATAACATGAAGATTATTTTTTAAATCCAGATGTCCATCGAATGTTTTTTATGTGTTTTTCTTAAGAAAAAAAATTTAATTTGTAAACAAAAATAGAATAGAATAGCTACAACTAGCCTAAATGTCATAAATTTATGACATTTGCCTTTCTTGCCTTTCTTGCCTTTCTCAAGTGATCTATTTTGGCTTGGGTTTACAAATTTATAGTCTCTAATGAAATAGGTTGAGGAGGGGAGAACTGTTTGTCTCAAGTTGGTCATTCAGAATTATATCTGTGTTTTTTAATTTGTTGATTTCCATAGATTCTAACAAAGATAGCTTAAGGCCTTTATTTTGAATGTGAAGAATTTTAAATTTGTCATTAAAAGAATGATTATGATCTAGAAGGTGAAGTGCGTATGTCGAATCTGTTTTTGTATTTTTGAAAGCCATTT